ATTAAGATTTGTATTTTCCCGTTACATTCTAATTAAGGATGTGAAGCCACAACGGGTATATCTTATTCCGTACATCAAAATCTGATTATTGATGAGGGAGATGACCCATAATTGTTACTCTGATAAATTCTCGTATGATTCTTGTAACAAACATTTATTTGTAAAATAACGCGTTTCATGAATTCCTTGTCAAATGATGATCCCGTTTTTCCTTGTCTTTGGTTGTTTTTTTTTACCCTTTGCATAGGATGGTTTAACACCGATATTTTAAAACATCACATGGATATCTTTGAAAAGGTTGTAAGGAAAAACGTGGATACCATTCGCATAAGGTTAGCGTTACCCTTCCATTAAATTTATCCTTATTTGTAATAGAATTTGATTTTAGGTTTAGTTCATTTTCATGATTTGATCTCATCTGATTTCTATTGACATTACTCTAAATGAGAAATTGTGTTACATTTAAAAATAATTTAGCATTATTAAATAAAAAAAGAACATAAAATCATCTTGAGGATTACATCATTAACGGTCATACCGTACCGTTACCCACCCACCGTTCGTTACATAATGTACTAACCAATAATGAGAAATGAATTTTCGTGATAATGATTAATAATTTCCATTTAGGTTCTATGTATTATTTCAGGTGCTCTTTCGCGTTGATGGTTTTTTTCGTCCATCCATGTAAATTTCGTTACGTATCAATTATGTATGATACCGTAAATTATTTTAATGTTTTGCTAATGACCAGAGTTGTTTTTACGCATTGTTATTCAAATTAGGAAATAATAAATTATTTTTAAAAAAAAAAAAAAATTAACCCCCCCTTTCCACGGAAAATTTTTAAGTATACCATATAATTGGTTCTTTTGTATAACTTTTTATTTTTGGTAATTTGGCTTTTTGCGTTCTAATGAGGAAATTTTTTTTTTCTTGACGATCGTTTGTGATTAACAAGGAATCCTATAATAATGTAAAAAGCACCTTCGGATGCGAATATGCATGCCCCTTCCATTGTCATAATGTATGTCAAATTCATCCTACAAAAATTTACATCATTCATTAATCAGTCATAATGTTTTCTTATACATCCAATATCAAACAACAATAAATGTCATGCCAAATTACTATATTGGAAAGACAATTACTGTTGAGCGTTACAAATATTATATATTCATTCCTTTTACACATGTAACGATCCATGCTACATTCCTAATACACATGAATTTTTTTTTTTAATAAAAAATGTCAAAAAACGTTTCATTGGGTAAACAAATATGCATCTAGAAAATTTGGAATTTTAAAATTTTCCACCAAATATGTGATATAAAATAAACTAAGTGGAGCCAAACGTACATTGCATATTCCCAAACCAAACAAATATTACAATTCACGTGCGAATTATGCACGGTAAATGAACCGTTCGCAATTAACAACACATTTTGTAGTGGTCTTTTGAAGACCAAAATTGTAATAATGAAGTCCGCGCAATTAAGGCAACATGATAAAAGAGGAGGGCACGCGTGGCATGTTTCAAATCTAGTTGAAATGATGCTTGGAGATAAAATTTGCACATGCGAAAGTAATTTTTTTTTCTTGTATCTCCCTTAACTTTTTTCGATTGTTGTTTTTACTTGAATAAACTTTAATTAAAAAACGGAGTCGGCTGCGGTTCTTTCATTTCCCTATTTACACGGATCTAACTGTAAAGGGTACATTACACACCAAGGTGCATTGTGAAACCCATTCTCCGATCTTAATTAGTAAAATAATGATGATTGGGAAGTCTTTTCGAGGAAATAGATGAAAGCGCAAGCGAAACTTTACGGAGTGGGTTGAGGTGGGTGATTGACGTGATCGACGTAGAACCGTAAAACGTAGAAACCGAACTGCGGCATAAATCTCAAAAGTATCTCCGGGGAGATTTCCGCATATGGAATCTAAATATAGAATTTATTTATAGATGGAATTAATAAAGGGAAATGTTTTAATATGACATCAAATAAGTAACAACTTAAGTAACAACTACAGAAATATATAATTTTAAATGATCTTTTTTTCAAAAAAAAAAAAAAAAAAATTGAACAAATATATTTACTTATTCAACTATGATTTACTACTATATTGCTTTTAATGTATTATTTATTTATCTTGTTATTATAAATTCGTAGTCTATTTTTATTAAATCAATATATCGGGAAGATTTTCCAAATGAATGATAATTGTGTGATTGTTAAAGTTATAATACTTTAAATACTCTATATGTGAATAACAGTGTTACTTAATATTAAAAAAAAAAAAAAAAATTATTTTATCTGTGTCAATTATATCATACCCGTGTGTGTATATATATATATATTTATATAAATAGTTGTAACTTACAAATAAAAATTTTTTTTTAATTTTTTTTTTTTTGAAATAAAAATTCCCAAACTAAGAATAAATCTAATGATAACTCATTTAGCTTGTTTTTTTTGAATATTCATCATTTGAATGAAATATGTTATTAAATTAGTCACTTTTTTTTTAAGTTTTCTTAACCGATTTTTGCTCTCATTTCTTTTACCAGTTCTCACTTATTCCTTAAACCTTCTCCTTGGGTTTATTTATAGGAAAAATAAAAAAAAAAAAGTTTCTTATCTAAATAAATAATTTATTTATCCATTAATTAATTAATTATATACACAAACATTTCGTGCGCTTCGCTTAGTTTTTTTTTTTTCCTTTTTCCCTTTTCCCTTTTCCCTTGCCCTTTTTTTCCCTCGAACAAATAAAAAAAAAAAATTTGCTATGATTATTTAAAGAATATCTTTAACCATCCAATCTTTAAGATTCGTCTCACATCCTACGAAAAAAAACAAAAAAAAGGGAAAAAAAAAAAAAAAAAAAAGAAAAATCATCGCATCGATTTTTTTTAAAAAAAAAATAAAAAAAAGATTATAAATTATGAGAACAACGCTACATTCACTATTCATCATCCTACTCGTCATACAACTTTTCACACAAAATTCATCATTTGCATTAGAATTAGACATACCTATCACAGATACGAGTGATTTGAATGAGAGGGTAATTCAATCATCGACCTACCGAGACAATACGATATTATTAAGGTTAGCAAAAGACGTCAATTATAATCCAAGTACTGGATTAATTTGTTCGGCAAATGAAATCAACTTGAAATTGATTCACCGAAATGGGACGATCAGAAATCTGAACATCAGCGTTCAAAATGAGATGTTGATGCTTGCAGAGAACTTTTGCATACCATTGTCAATCATAACCACACCAACGCATTCGAGCCCATTCATCACTCCACCTCCGTTCAATGTCATTGGAAACGAAGGAAGTACCATAACTTTACCAATATCATCGTTAATTAGCGAAGGTGGTATAATATTGGATGGGATAAGGATATATGCATTACAACAAAATTTTATTTTATTAACATACTTTTGTAGATTAGAGATAGTAGAAGGGGCAATCATATCGGAAATATGCGGATCGTTAATTAATTGGAACAAGGAAGTTAAATATGTGATCAATTTTGGGCAAAATTGTTCGGATAGCGATATCGTGGTACGAGACGAAGGGGAGGAATTTTTAAGAGCGTGTTATCTGTCGGATCGAAAGCAAGTGATTTGGACGAGATATACGATTAATAGTAATGAGGAAACGATAGTCGTTCAAGATTCTGGCACGATAATAAATGTGAATCAATTTTCACCAAACTTGACAGAAATCTTCCCAACCGAAAATGGTGGTTACGGCATCGTAACAGCCCAATACACGGGAGAGGTCAACTCGCTCTTCTTACCTCCCTGGACACTTTTCCTACAGTTCATCTCACCTTCCAGATCAAATGGCGTCGTTCGTCACGCTAGTTCCATAAGTAGTGCCTTTCAATTGTATAAACAAACGACCGAAAGTCTTACATCTTTAGATATTCATAAATGTGGTATCGCATATCAGGGATATGGGTACAATTGTATAATATACATGGCTAGAGCGACCGGATTGGCCGGTGGTGTATTTGTTAATATTGATTTTTTAGATTCCGGTGGGGTTTTAAATACTACCGAATTTAGAATTACTCCCGTAGGGATTTTCCCTAATGTTATCAAAATCGAATCATTTTATTATGGCGGATATTTAATATTAATTCAAAATGTTAACGTGGAAGGGTTAATTTATAGTAATAACGGTACTGAAATGAGTGATGGCTGGCACATGCCAGCGTCGATCGTTACCGGTGATGGTGGCGTGATCCCATTGAATTATACCAGTAACGTTGGCGTGCTCTCCAATAATACCTTTTGGTGTGTCGCAAACAGTGATGATGGCGTGAAATTAATTACAAATGATCTATTAACCAACCTTTCAACCATATCTGATCCTAATATGTTAGCTTATGGCAATCCCTTTATTGAATCAACCTCTCCTAAGATTAATGATGTGATTCCAAGGGATATCACTAGCATATCAATTACCTTTACTAATTTGATTGAATTATCAACCGGTAATGTAAGCATATGGCAAACCTCAAATAACAATGATAGTAGTCTGGATGTCCTAAGACAGTCTTTCTCCGCTACTCAATCTCAATTTGTTCGACTGGAGGACAGGAGGACGGTTAATATAATGATATTTAACTCCACCTTTAATACTCCTGGTGTGAGTTACTATGTTAAAGTTGATAATGGTTTTGTGGAAGATTTACGTGTTGGTCAAAATTTACCCGGTATTAGAGAACATCGTTGGATGTTTAAAACTGGTGAGTTGTTGGGTTTGGTCTTTGGGGAACCGTGCTGAAGTTCGCGTCGCGTGGCGCAGCACACGTCAAACGATCGTTTTTAATCTCCCCCTCTTGTCCTTTTCTTGCTTACAGGAATAGATGAACGAGAGTTAATTTCAGGTACTACAAATTTTCCACATCTCGTTGTCTCTTTTTATATATGTCTCTTTTTTTAAAAAAATAAAAAATAAAACTTTTAAAAACGCGTCTGATTAACGCCACTTAGCGGATTCTCTAGGATCGGTGAAAGCAATCGTACGATTAACGCCGGGAGGAACGAAATTTTACGAATCTTTGTCGTCACCAGAAAGGGACGAATTTTCGAAACAAATGTCTGCTCAATTATCAAAGATGATACCATGCGATCCACCGCGATTGGTTACATTAGAAAACTCTCAATATGACCCAGCCACGCAATTTGATCAATTGCTGCTTCGCGTTGATGTTAGACCACAGAATAACGGTGGTTTGCAAGGGGTGGACAATAGTCTGAGTAGTTTAAGGATCATAAATGATTTAAACGTTTTAATTATAAATAAAGATTACACCGATATTAGTAGAGGGAATTTCTCTAGCATGTTAGACAATCGATACGGAAGTAAAGTAATTCGTAAGTAAATCCTAAACCTTTAGCGAAAAGGATCAGGGATGAAGGATTTATGGCTAACGTGTACATTCCTCTCGTTGTTTTTTTTAGCCGATTTATGGTTAAGGTATCGATGGATCTTGATAGGATTTTCTGGTGCTTTAATACTACTGTTACTATTATTCTGGTTTGCAAGACGAAAATACCAACACGTAATATAAATTAAATTGTTTGTTATATTTCATCGTGACGAGACGAGAAAAAATGCTAATTTTTTATTTTCCAACGATAATAATAATAGGGACGAAATTACGTGATATTTTTGTTTACGATAATAGCCGTTGATTTAGGATTAGATATTTCATTTATAATAATGCACGGAAATGATTTGAAATGGTTATATCCCGTAAGGTTCGTAATGATCTTTTATTTTCTTCTCAAAAAAAAAATAAAATAAAATAGAAATATTTAATAAGAAAATACAAATTATAGTAAAAATAATGACGAATAAAATGTAATAACCTCTTATTTTTTTCCCCCCCTTTATTTCTTTAGCGTTGTATTTTTGGTATTTCCAATATTGATAAATGTATTGTCTACATTTATGATAATAACAAGAGAAACAGGAAAAGAGAAAGACTTTTTAAACTGGTGGAGAGATAATTCAAAAACTGCATTAGTTTTTACCTTATTTTCCGGTATTGATGTTGAGGCATTAAACATTATTAATTCTGAATGTGGTGGCATCAATGAATTAAGTGCTCCTTTGGCAGATATAACCATTGAAAGAATTTTAATTGTTAATGGGGTGGTTTTATTCCTTGAAGATATTCCTCAATTAGTAATATATGTAAGTATATTTGCAAAGGGAAAGGGAAAGGGAACTTGACGTTTTGAGGAAAAAAATTTAAATGAAGTTACTAATTATCTTCTTCTTTCTCCTTTCCGGTAGATTTTTTATCAAAGCACGACAGTGATACCAGCGATAATACCAATATTGGTATTATCATCATGTTGCGTGGTATTAACACTCAAGTCAATAGGACTAATGTATTTTTGTATAATATATCACAAAGCTCCACCATCATCATTTAAAGTTGATGAGAAAGGGAAGAAAAAAGCAACGGACTTTTATTCATCAGGACCATATCGGACAGAATCATCAATTGATACATCAGAATTACCGCCGAAACAATTATTTGCAAATAACAAAGGAGGAGGAGATACGACACCAGAGAGCATACACATTCTTACAACCGATAACGGTGAAACTAAGGTTTTCATGAGACATCCAGACGAGTTCAAAAATTTGGATATAAAAATGCCTACTAGTATAAAAAGGGTTAAAGAAAGTACCGTAGAGGATGGTTCAAGCATAGAACCTGGTCAAGAAGGAGGGATATCTGATATTGGTATCATTGAATCTACCGAGGGACCTGTAATAGGTAGTAGTTCTAAGCATGTTCAGGGAGAAACTATTGGCGATAAAGAATATAAAGATATTCAACCAACCGAAGCCGAAATATCGGAAGAATTTGAACCTGTGAAAGTAGTTCCTACTTATCGATCAAAATTGATTGAACAATTTGATATAGATCCTGAAGATATTAAATCTGGTAAAATATCTATATCTACAATGATTCCTGTTCAAAAACAAATACGAGAGGAACCGCAAGAACCACAGCCTTCAACTTCAAGGAGGATTGTTAGTAGTATTAGTAGAGCTTTGGGTGGTAGTAAAAAAGGAAAGGGTGGTCAGGATAGTAAAAAAGGTAAATCTAAAGATGATGATAAGGATCAAAAAAAGGATGATAATAATTAACTTGATTTACTTTTTAGGGTTTATACATTTAATAGGATTTATTATTATTGTCTTTAGGAAATAATTAAACCTTATTTATTATAATTTTTTTTTCATTTAGCTTCAGTTTAAGTTCTTTAATATGCGATATGCATCAATGATTCTTTACAAACATCACTTAAGGATAAAAAAAAAATTTATGTTTTATGGGTTTTATAGGTTTTATGGTTTTACTAGGTTTTATATTTTGAATGTAATTTTTCTTTCACTTATTAAAAATCAATTCTTTTCTTTTCTTTCTTTGCTTCTCTTGTATTTTTACAACTTCACTATTCAGGAAAGAAAAATAGTTCGTTTTTCCTTTTTTATTTAGTTATTTAATTTTGTTAAATTTGTACTTTATTAGTTTTATACAAGAAATCACTTTTTTACTTTTTTTTTTTTCTTTTTTTTTATTTTTTTATTTTTTTTTTTTAAAAAAAAAAAAAAAAAATTTGTATATGTGTGTATAATATATATATATATAAAAAAAAAAAAAAGAGCTTCCTACAATAATTTACTTTTCAAAGTTAAACATACATATATTTACAGACAAAAATTATTATTGTTTTTTCTATTAAAACGTATTTCAAAAAAAAAAAAAAAAAAAAAATTTTGCAAAAGAACGATCCCCTGTTTTTAATGATATAAAAAAAAAAAATCAAGGAATTATGCATTATGAATATTATAGTAATATTACTAATAATTGACCTTTGTTTATATGAATACCGGTAAGTAAAATTTCGGC